GCAAACCAACTATCTTGACTTGTATTTAATTTATTTATTTACAGAGCAAAACTTTTTACTTTCAATTCAAAAAAATGTGCTGATTCTATATTTTTCTTTTTTGAATTTTCAATCAAAGCCGAAGGAATCTGAGTTTTTTTCAAACCTAATCTAAGTTTGCCACAATTAGCATAAATTTGTTATTGGTTCACAAGTAGGTATTTTTTCACATTTTTCAAACGCGTCGCCTACAAACTAAGAGGCTTGGAAAAAAATTTGTATTGTTCCGACCATTGATTGTTTTGTTTTTCTAGTCATTTTTCCCGCATTAATTATTTTCTAGTTTACTTATATTATTATGATTTTCGCACATGCTTAAGCTCTAGTTTCTCGTTCAGATCGCTTTTATCGCACCACGCAGAAAAAAAACGATTATAGTTTGAAAAAACAAATACTTTTTTTGGTATTTTTAAGACAGGTCAGAAATTTCTGCGCTACTTGCACAGAAACCGGCTATCGTAGTTAGTATTATGCAAATTTTAATTCAAAAATGCTTTTTACGTTGTAACAACTGTCAAAAACTGTAAACTTTCTTTCTAAACCAGCCTAACGCTTAAATTTTTCTGTTGATTAGCTAGTATGAAAAATGTAGACTTTGAACGTATTTTTTTTTCAAAATTTTATCGTAGAAGATTTGGATGGGTTCCTTGTTTTCTATAAAACTTTTGTCTGTTAATCATTTTTGAAGCCAACAATTCAGAATTACGCATAATCTATGCGTTTGTGCAGTGCTCTCAGCGCACCATGGACAAAAACAACGACACTAAAACGAAGAAAAGAAACAATTGTTTTTTAAGTTTTTTACGAAATTGATCGGAATGTTTTGTGCTAGTTTCCGGGCTAGAAAACATTTCCGATTAACCTTGTTTCAATTAAAAATCGCTGAGAAAAGCTTAAAAACAAATTACAAGGACTATATTTTCTGATACGCAGCAAAAACATCAATTCTTATCTCCAAAATTTGAATCAGATAATTATATGATAACAAGGCCAAACTGTGAACTGGATAGCATGCAATTTAGTGTCTGTACATTCGTGGATTCCAGAGAGAAGTCTTTAAAGATTTTCCGAAAATTATGTGGATTCCACGTACAAATTTTAAGCTAGAAGTTCTAAATTCCGCAAAGTAGGCGAATTTCGCATGTATGCGGCTTCCGTAAATGTAAGCGGCTTCCACAAAAATAAGTGGATCTTAATTTTGTTTGTTACACTGAACTGAACCAATCCTCGCGTGAACAATCAAGAGCTATACCTAAAAATTTTATCCAGCAAATGCTGAATTAAAAGCAAAGATTTTTTTGTTGTTTTTTTTGGAGTCGAATAACAAATCTTAAATAATGTTCATATAAAAACATGGATTTTCCCCTTTGATATTTGGAATCAATCAAACTGATTTAATTTCAGCATTATAACCCATGAAATAGTTCATTTCAGTTCGTTTTCATTTTTCGATATTTGAGATCAGAAAAAATGCTCAAATTGTTAGTATTTGAAATCGGAAATGTTCATTCTTTCAGCGTTTGAGATCAAAAAGTGTTCAGTTTTTCAGTTCTTGAGATCGGAAACGTGTTCGTTTTTTCAGTTTTAAAGGTTTAGCTGAAGACTTAAATTTAATGGTAATAGGGGAGATTTAACAGTTGAACAGTCTCGCGGATGATCTAAAAAAGATTTGATTTAGAAAAAAATTTTCATAACGTAACTATATATGATACTGGAATCCGCAAAACAATGCGGTTTTTGCTAACAATTTGCGGAATCCGCATCCGCTTACAGTTTTCAGATTCCGTTTGCAATTATGGTTTCCGCAATAAGTCATTTTAACTATGGGTTTATTTTGTTATTTAGTTGTGGATTCCAGGAACTGTTCCGGTTTCCGCAAATATTGTTGCAGATTTCATAAACTCGCTGATTTTTGGAATCCAAAATAGCAAATCCAGAATATCAAAGAAATCAAAAAAATTGCAGATTTTGCACTAAATTGGATTTTGGCTTGCTGCGTATTCCACTCACAATTCACCAAATGCCCAATTTGGCCTCGTAATTGTTTTATCTACGTTTTTTTTTTCAAATTTATTTTGAATTTTTTTCATTCTCGGAATGTAAGCAATTAAATAATACTGTTAAATCCTGGCTGACGCGTTTCATGGTTGATTTATTACTCAATGAAACAACTTAACTGAGTAGGAACTTGGGATCTACTTAACAATCCCCCCTCAAGAAAGGGGAGGAGGTTGTTGTTGTTAGTTGTAGGCCGTCTACAGTGCTGACGGGGGGTAAACACCAATTCTCCCCAAGTATTCCAAGACGGCGGTTGTATTTGTCTGAAGTACGTCTAGTTTCGGGTTTTCTCCAAGTGTGTCCTTCTGCTCTTTATCCCAGATGCTGCAATTTAGGAGTACGTGTTCTGTATTTTCTTCTCCGTTATTACAGTAGGGGCAGCTTGGGTCATCCACTTGTCCGTGTCTGTGTTTTGTTGCTTGTAGGAATGGCGCCCTATTCAGCCTGAGTTTGTGCAGGATAACTTTTTCCTCTCTTCTTCTGCATTCTGTCGGCATGGGCTGCCCTCCGGTTGCTCTGCGATGGAAGTCATGAGCCGGGACTTGGTGTAGGTAGTCTTCTAGTCGTCGGTCATCTCTGTCCATGTTCAGGGCCTCTCTCGGGTCTCTGCCTTCTTTGATGGTGGCTAGGCGTCTCCGGGCAGTAGATCTCCAGTCCTGGCGTGTGTTGTCTTCTCCTCCTGGCTGGCGCAGTGCACGTAGGTGGTGGTCTTCTGGGAACTGGCTGCATCTGATCAGCAGTTTGGCTGCAGAGTCTTCGATTTCTTGTCTGATGGTCGTGAGCGCTATCTCAGCCCTTGTTTGGTCGGCTGGCGAGCCTTTCGGTGCTCCTGTGATGGCCCGGGCTGTCATGTTTTTGCAGGTCTCCAGATGAGCTATGTGTGAGTCTGCTGTGAACGCACTCCACACTTCCGCTGCGTATAAACCGCCGGGTCTGACATAAGCCATGTAGAGTCTTTTGAGGTCGGTAGCACTCATCCCCCAGACTCTGCCTGCCAGCGCCTGAAGTATCTGGTTTCGCTTGCGGAGCTTCTTGCAGGCTTTCTGGGCGTGGTTGCCGAACCTCAGCTGTGAGTCGATTTGGACTCCCAGTATCGTCACTTCCTTCTTGTAGTCGATGTTCCTTTCTAGCAAAGTTATCGGTGGCTGGGCTTTGCCAGCTGTTTCGCGAGGATCGAGCGAGACAACCACGGCTTCCGTCTTCTCGACTGAAATCATCACATGGTGTTCTGCTGCCCATTCGGTTATGACGTTCAGTGCTATCTGTGTGTTAGTTGCCGCTTCGCCGGGAGTGTCTGCTGCTGCACCAATCGTCAACTCGTCTGCAAACTGTCTTGGTGCTGCTGTAGGCGCTGCCGCTTTGACCCGTCTCGGGAGATCAGCCGTGGCTATGCAGTACAAAAGAGGGAAAAGGGGGCTACCCTGAGAGAACACTTTGACCCTGCTTGTCCTGTTGTTCCACTTGACCAGCGATCTCCGGTCCGCAAGCCACGAGTGGAGCCATCTGAGGCACCTTCCTGACAGACCGTGTTTGGCGAGGTCTCTAAGCAAGCCCCCTCGCCACACTTTGTCAAACGCGGCTTTGAAATCAACCGCTACGAGCAGCGTCCGCTTCTTCCTCTGCAGACCGTCCATGCTAGCGAGAACTTCTGAGGTAGACCGGAAAGGCTGGAAGCCGGCTTGCTCAGCGGGAATGATGTTGCGGTCTTCTGTCCATTTCTAGGGGAGGATGTTGTAAAGTAGGTTAAATCAGCGAGTTTTAGATCAATCAGAGCGCAGCTGAATTTGAGTTTTAAAAAGACTACTCCAGTGCTAATGTACTGCTTTTATTTGTAGGGGTAGAAATTTATTAGTAGATACCATAGGAGGGTCGAGGGGAGAGTTTTTTAAGTGCCCGGGTTGACCAAAAATGCTAGTCATACAATTTTTATAAATAGAAAAATGCTAATCATACACTTTTCATGCAATTCCATAAGTACAGAAAATTGCATGAAAAGTCTATGAGTAGTGTTTTTTCATATATGGAAATTGTATGACTAGCATTTTTCCATAAACCAATAATATTGATTTTTTACATTTTAATTTCTCAAAATTTTTTGGTTGTGTTCGTAACCAAACACAAATGACATAAGCCTTGGTTACTCAAACGTAGTAACCAAAGGTTTGACCGTCTCGCATTAAAAATGCAATGGAAATAGCCTGAAATGTTTTAAGTCCGTCTGACACAAATAATATAACGAATATAACGAACTTTTAAATTTTGGCAAAAATCTCCAAAGATGATTTTTTCTAAACTTTGAATTATTTCTAAACCAGTTTCATGCAAAAAACATGTCATACAAAAGAAAGAGGAGTTTTAAGCTTTTTTGACAAATTTATGAAGAGTAAAGGAAAAAAAATCCAATTTTTAGTATATCCAGGACTATGTTATACACACAAAAAATTAAATTTTGCATGCAAAATTTTTATTTACAAAAAATGTTTGTTTGAGTAAGAAAATCAATTTGCGGTTGAAAAAAAACTCGAAAAATTTTTGTCGTCGCCATCATAAAAATGCTAGTCATACATTTTCCATATATGGAAATTATATGATTCGCATTTTTTTTTGACAGAAAGTTTTTCTTTTTTTTTAGTACGATACATCGAATTTTATGCCAAAACAAGAAAAAAATTCTTCGAAAATTCGACGACACCATTTTAGCAAAATTTATGAAACTTGTATGATTAGTATTTTTTCATAGACTTAGTTTATGAAATTGTATGACTAGCATTTTTGGTATATGGAGGTCAACCCGGGTGTATCCGGAACATCAACATGCATGTTCTACCAGATGATTTTTTTTTAAATAAATCATTAAATTATGATAATTAGGTCTAAATTTTTTAAGTTTGAGTTTGTTTCAGCCTACTGTTTGCCACCACCGCTTTCTTCGCCGTCTTCCTCTCAACTGTAGTGTTCATAGCCATCGCATTCTGGTGCGGCAGGAAGTTCTGTGAGGGTTTCTCTTCCCGCAAGAACATCAACAATGAGGAGGGTGGGGCCAAACTGAGTCGCCAGAGGTCAATTGGCAGCGCGGGTGGGGGACAGGGTGGCGGGGGGAGTAAGAGGAAATTCCTGACTCCCGCTTTCAGTGCTAGCAGAACATCTACTTTGTAATGTTGTTAAGCTTTGATTCTGTGCGTGTTCAGGAGATCGAAGAAAGAATGAATATTGAGTTATGACTGGGGCGTAACTCATAGAGTAATTTCGGATAGGGTACACCGTCTGCTCGTCACGCTATCTTATTTTCGGCCGGATAGATTCGTGCAACTTCTTAGTCTAATACCGATCCTAATCTTACTCTTATACTATCTAGTCTCAGGTTGTTTAACTAGTCTCTGCTAGGCTCAATAGATCTAGGGTATACTGGTTTATTGCGGCTGCTGAAGTGCTCGGGAGAGTCCAACTAATTTCTAAGTTAAATTCAAATCTCTCTGGTGCTGAAATTACAAGTAACTTCAGCACTTACAAATAAGTGGGTTGTTAGTTAGATGGATCATGATTGGTTAATATTAAATACTTTACATTGGTAAAACATTTAATTTATCCAATCATAAAATATAGTTTAGATCAGGTTCCACCCATCCGGGTTTTACAGTGTTTTTTAGAACAGTTCTTCTGTAGTTCAAGGATGGATGATGGACGTTGGTATTTGGCGAACATCACAATTTTCTTTCGCTTCTCCTTGTGACAACGACTGAGTCTTTGCAACAAAACCAATTCTGATTTCAGAATGGTTGGCTATGTCAGGTTTTTCTGTTCTTCAGGGAGAACTTCCTTTGTATCTGATCTAGCTTGGGAATGGCGTGGAGATTGTGCGTGGAGGGGATGCCTGATTACTCGGATCTGTACGTATACTTGAACATCGAGGTGGTCATTGGTCTAGTTCAATGAAGTCCTTTTCTGCGAAGTCAAGTCGTACTCTAAATCCTTTGAGTTGTGATTGTGAGTGGCATATCGATTGTAGTTGGTCATTCTCTCTCGAGTGTAGTGAGGTCGTCTTGTCTTTTGATGTTCGTCCTTGGTGTTGTATTCTGATCTATATATTGCATCATGTGATTTTACATTTTATAAAACTTTTATTAGTTTAATATTTTTTAATCATGATTTTAGTTAGTTGTTTTCACAAAAGCTTTTTGTTTTAGTTCGGTTATTTTGAAGAGTTACTCACCCTTGAGTAGCTCTTATTAAAAATAAAGGTGTGGTCACAAAGCGTGGATGTAGCGCGGTGGGTTAGGCCGGCTATAGAGCATGCTCAGGACGTCCTTTCCTGGTGGGTTAGGCCAGGTGTGGGAGTATGATTTCATGCGGTTTTTGTGAGGGGTCCTGTTATGTGACAACGTTTTATGTTGGGTTTGTTGTGGTTTTACTTATGTTTCTTTGGTTGTGTCCTTTTTTTCAAAAATCAAATTGTTTGTGGTATGGGTTTGTCTTTCGACTTTTTTGTGTTTTATTATTTCTTTCTAAGACTTTATAATAGTCTTCAAAAGAATAAATTATCCAGTTTTAAACTGGGTTAATCCGGTTTGGGTACCGTTGGTTTCCTTTTCTTAGTCATGCTGTTATTCTATGATTTGTGGTATTTAGTAAGCTGCGTTGGTTAGTTTTGTTTAGTATATGATTCCTCTCCAACCGGGTTAAAGGAAAGTTTGAAACTTGTTATCGTGTATTAGAGTTATTGAGTGTGAAAACTTGAAACTGAAATTCATTATTTTAAACAATTCTTCGTGGGCGAGCTGTGCGAGTATGGATAGAATTTCTGTGCGAGTGAATGAAAATATCAAAAGGTTAGTACTGCAATTGCATTTTATTAATTTACTGCATAGAATTTGGAAATTTACTGCTAGTAATGGGGGAATTTTAAGATACAAATTTTCATCATATGTAGATTTACTGCTTTTGGGGGAAAATTTTATAAATTAATTTACTGCATTGGTATTGAATTTATAAATTTATATGTGTAAGAGATTAATAGAATTTTGGAAATTTGTTTGATGAAATTTGCGATTTTTATTTGTCTTTTGTGGTTTTTGTAGGTGATCGTCGGATGAAGGCTAAAAATCTAAAGAAAACATGAATAAAGAATGGTGAGTTTTTTCAATATTTTAATTAGTTAGTAATATTCATTTAATTCATACTTACCTGTTAGTCGTCGGGGAAAAAACCGTGGGGGAAGATGTCGTGAATTAGTTCTGAAGTTGTGAGTAGTTTAGCTAATATGCGGATGATATTTTTAGTTTGAAGTAGTGGCCAAAGCAATTGAAGTGCCTTAATGGTGGTTAGTTCTTCAGTGCCTACTGCAAACTCATAAGGTGTGTTTTGGATTAAGTTATATAATTTGTGGTTAAATGTAGTGTTATGGATGAATTCTAAAATGGGGATTTCTATAGGCTGTACAAACTCGTGCGGGATAAGGAAGGGTCGGGATTCTTCGGCGTTGAAGGTCTTGGTGATGGGACAGAAGATGTACATTTGGGTTATGGGGTCATAATTACGAAGAATACCATGAAGGTTAGTGTCTTTAATACAATATGTGAAATTTAGGAAATATGGTGAAGTGTATTTTGAATTGATGAATTGGAAACGATGGTGTGGTTGTCTAGAGGGTGTGTGGAGGTCAAAGTGATTTTGGATGAAACGATAGTAACTGTATGTATGTGTTTGTTTAGTTCGCAACATAATATCGTGTGAGCAGTGTAAATCTCTTTCGTGTGGTGCAAGGAAATGAAAGGTTAGTGAGAAGATTTGGAAGCGTTCTTTAAAACTTTCGTATGCTTGTGTGCCTGTTAGTGCTTCTGAAATAATGTGATCAAACTTTCGGTCAAAGATGTTTAGTGTAAATACATATGGTGTCTTGATGAAAAATTTCTCGGTGATTTGTGGATTAGCGAAGCGATCTTCATCTAAGAATTGATCTTGGTTAGCTCTTATGATGTTGTGATCGTAGTATTCTAGTGTATATTCATTAGCTCTAGGTGCAGTGTGTATTTTTAGTGATTTTTTATATCCTACGTAAGTAAATTGTCTAGCGGTGAGTGGTGTAGTTAGTCGATATAGCATGTCTTTGTTTCGGTCTGTATCGATGGAAGTGTTGGTTAAAGGTAAGCAAAGAGGGTTAGTGAAATGATAGTATGAGGTCCAAGAGAGAGTGGGCATTAAAACGTATTCGTCTACAAAGTTGCGTGTTTCGTTAGCGTCATGAGGGGTGTTTAAGGTGTATTGTGGAAATGAGGGTAAAGTGATAGCTAAAAATTCTCTTGTGTTAGTATGCTGGGGGTGATTGATGTATTCACGGGCTGTTCCTGGTTTTGCTGGGAAAGGATGGTTGGGGAATTTTCTTTTAAAAGTGCGGTAAGCTCTATTAGTATTGAGTGAGGATTCAGTTGATGTGGATGATGGTGCTAATGATTCAGTATAATTTGAAGAGGGTGTAGGAGGATTGGTTGAATTTGTAGTGGAGGAGATTTGGTTTATGGTCGGGGTGTTAAGGTGGTAGGGTTGTTGTTGGAGGGTAATAAAATTGTCTAGCTCTGGTGAGATTCGAGGGGTATCTGGAGATGATTGGTCAGAGTGGTATGAGGAGTAGGTTGGGGTAACTTGGGAAGCATAAGAGGGTGTAGGAGTGATGGGGTCAGGGTTATTTGACAATATGGGTTGAAAGGGAGGTTGAGAAAAATGAGAAGGGTTATGGAAATTATTGGATGGAGATGGTTCTGAGTCGGCAAATTCATCGGGGGTTTCAATATTCGGGTTATTTAGCTGTGAGATGGAGTATAAAACTGAAATTTGTGAGTTAGTGTCGGAATTCATGCCTGATGTTACATTGCTAGATGGAAAATCGGGTGGCGGAAAAGCAAAAAGTGGGATTATTGGGATTGAAGAGGTAAGGTTGGTTGGATGGGAATTTGATCGATGGAGTGATCCAAGTTGGCGGCTCATCGTGGGCTAAAAAAATTATTATTTTGAGATTGAAAAGCGGTGGTATGGGGTTGTTCAATAATTTGTTCATAAGTGTTATCATCGTGTGATTGATGTGTCATTATATGCTGTACGGGACTTTGTGATGTGATGAGTCTAAAATTTGGATTATGTGTGATTGCTAAATTTCGAAAATTTCGTGGGACTAGGGATAGTGGATGGTTATTTGGCAGGGGTGGCAATTGTGGTGCCGTTGGCTGTGTGTCTACATTGTTATGTTCTTCGTCGTATGTATTTTGTCGTGTTGTTATTTTTGTGTTATATTCTTTTATTTGTGCGTCTAAAAGAATTTTGTTTATAGATGTGGAAAAGATTCCAAAAAATCCTGCAAAGAGTATGCGTGCTACACTTGCTTGTCTGTTTACTTGTGTGTGTATAGCACATGTATTGTAGATTCCTTTTAAGAGTGAGAAAAGAAATCCAATAAAGTTAAACATTGCGTATAAAATAGTCAATTTTTCTAAGATGTAGTAGGGCCATCCTAGAAAATCTAGGATCTCATTTTTGAGTGTAACAAAGCTAAAAATGTTGATTGGTGATATATCTTGGGGACGGTATTTTTCGCCGTTTAGATATATATAATCTTTAATGTCTTTAAAATATCCGCTATAGTCTTGTGTGTAGATATCGGCAAATCCTGCGGTTTCTGCAAGTTTGCGTAAGTTTTGGTCAATTGATTGTCTTTGTATAGTGTCCATTTGTGTTAGTAACTCTTGGAATTGTTGTGTTCTAATGTGATGTTGAATATCTGATTTTGAATAGATTCCTATTGATTGTAAGTCTATATTTGGGTTTCGAGCGATAGCGCGAATGCTTTCTGGTGAAAATTTTTTGAGTGATTGCATTAATGTGGGGTATGGAGTGAGAAGATAATATTTATTTTCATCAGGGTTTAGTTGTACTACATTGTGGCTATTTTCTGATCCACATGGGACTGCGGTATCCCAGAAATAGGTTCTTCGTGAAAGTGTATCCACGAAATGTACTTTATTCTTATAAAAGATAGGGATTCTTTTATAACATCGTTTATCTTCAAAAACGTATAGTGGTGATACTTTTTTAGTACAAGTATAAAACCATAAGATGTTTCCTTCATAGTCTAAAAAATTTGATCTATTTCCTGATAATAAATATCCTGCGTAGGGTATTTTTAATACTGCTAGTGCAAGTGATTGTAATATTTGTGTT